TCCGGCAAGGCGTCGAGAGAAAAGTTTTAGCGTGTAAAGCCCCGCCGCGCTTTACGCCGCGCGACGTGACGCCGCAGCCCGCCCTCGCCGTCGCCGTCAGGCCGCCAGGACATGTTTGTTGGCAACATGCGCGTCAGCGCGGCAGCAGCGCCGACAGAGATTGAGGAGTCTGGAAAGGCATTACCCGTGGCAAGCGCCAAGGACGGGATTTGAACCGGCGACCTTCACGTCGGCCGCATCTTAAAAAGGAAGGTTTTGGTGCGACCGCAAGGCCTGTCTTCACCCACAGCCGCCGCGCTCGGCACCGCCCAGGAACACCGGGCACTGGACGGCCGCCGCTGGGCTCTGTGGACACCTGGCTGGCTGCACGCCAAAAACAGTGTCCGGGTTTCCCACGCAAACCCTGGCATCGTGGCCTCTTGCTCCAGGGAAACCTGGACACTGTTTTGGACGCGTGCATGCTTTACTTTCCACGTCCGTGCCAGCAGTGTCAGCAGTGAGCACGCCGTACAGTGACTGTGTGCCACCGGGTAGCCGGGTGGACGGGTGGCCCCGCTGGGGGCTACAGCGGGCTGACGTCGCGCCGAGGTCTTGGGGCGCCAATTACTGGCATGAATGATACAACGCGGTGCGCCCCCCCCCCCCCTCGGCCCCCCTCCCCCTTTCCTGGTGTCTCACCCCGCCGCGTCCGCGCGCCGCCAGATGCTCAGCACACCGCTAGTTCCGAGCAAGTTAGAGCGTCGCGAAATTATTGCTGTGCTTTATAGTGTTTTCGCGGAGTCGATCGCGATTCGAGGCCCTCGGCCAATTTGGAGCGGAATGGGCATGCAAATCACATTGGCCAGCCAGCCGTCTCGGCGGCCGTCTCGGCGGCCGTCTCGGCGGCCGTCTCGGCGGGCACGCTGCGCTCGAGAAAAGGACGGCTCAGTTATGCGAGGAGAGGATGGGGTCCTCGACGTCCACGAGATGCCAATCCAACGAGGAGGCACGAGCGCGCAGACACGCAGAGAGGGCTTTTCGGTAGGCCGTCTGGAGGGTAGGCAAGAAGCAGTACCTTGCCCCTTCAAGAAGGCAAAAAGGTCTGTTCCACCCCTTCCAGAGTCCTGGTTTCGCGTCTGGTGCCAGGGGGCTAAACAACACTACAACCTGAAAAAGGAATGATTTCGTGTTCAATGAAATTCTATATACTGAGTCATCTGCTTGAGAAGAAGGTTGAGCTCTCCTCGATTCAACGGCGGTGCTGACCCAGCCGCGTCTGTCTATCCAGCCAATTCCGAGTAAATTTGAGTTGTAAAGTTATCCGGATACTTTTTCGTGTTTTCTCAGCGGGGAGGCATGGCGCGAGGCGGCCACTCCACCAATTTAGAGAGAATTAAGCGAATCACCTCAGCGAGGCCCGAAGCCCCAAGGCCGGGGCACAGTGGGCCACGGTGGGCCAGGAGCGGCCAGGAGACTAGTGCGGACAATCAAAACTCTAGACGCGTTTTGAGCTCCAGAGTCGCTCAACAGGACTCGAACCGAACGTGTGGCCCCACCAATGGATTCCTCGTTCGGAGAGCAATCCATTGGTGAGGTCACACTATCGATTTGAGCCCCATTTCGCGACTCAGGAACCCAAAGCACGTCTAGAGTTTTGGCCGCCCCCCACCGGTCTTCTGGCCCACTGTGCGAGGCCGAAGCCCCGGGGCCGAAGGCCGCTCACCGCCCGTTAGAGGCTTGAGGCTCGAGATGGGGAGATAATAATCGCGGATTGGGTGATTCGAAATTCCGACCGCCGCGGCGCGCCATCCGCCTCGACAGCCCTGGGAGGCGGCGCTTCCAGGCGGCGCCACTCTGCTCGGCGGACTCGGAGGGAGGTAATCGCATCGTACCATCGCACTCGGAATCAAGAAAGGCCTTTCGTCGACCTCGCTGCCGCGGTCTCCCCCTGCCGCCCCGTTCACGGTTCGACGGCCGTGGCGCTGCCCCCCCCCCACCCCGCAGGAGGCACCTTGAGAGCGCCTGCTAATTAAAAGCAGGTGGCTGGAGTGGGGTCGCCGCCTCCCATTACCGTCGCCAAATCGCTCCGGGCAGGCAGGCCGCCAGGCAGGCAGGCAGGCAGGCAGGCTGCTGAATGGCGCATCAGCCGAGGGCAGCGCGGCCTGCTAATCCCAGCACAGGCCCAGACCCAGTCCAGTTGCCCGGCCGGGCTCTGAGTGCGGAGTGTGGCGGGTGTGGCGGTGGGGAGCGCCCGCCACGGCCAGGGTAGGCCGCCCGCTGCACTCGCACGCGCGCGCGCTGCCTGCCTTGGCGCCTTGGCAAAGTGCGCCAAGCGAAACGTGCGTGCCGTAGGAGGAGACGCACGGAGAGACGCGCGGAGGGACGCAGGCCGGGGGGGGGGGGGGGGATGCTGGCGTGCCTCCTGGAGGCGTGGCGCGGCGGGGCTCCGGTGGCCAGCAACAGCAAAACGAGGCAAACACGCCGAGGCCTGAGGCGCGCTAAGGGGCATAACCGGGAATAACGAGGCGGAACTCTTTGTCCGGCTTGGCGGGGCTTGGCGGGGCTTGGCGTTCTTCCGCCCGGCTGGCCGCGCTGCAATGTGGAACGGCACAGTGTGCACTTCGCCTTGCTTTCGCGTGCCTCGCTTTCCGAGAGCCTCGCGTCTCGAGCGAGCCTCGGCCGTGCTCGGCCCTGCTCGGCCGGGCCGGGCACAGCGGATCTAACTCAAGTGGCCCCGGATGGCGAGCAGAACGGGACGGGGATCAATTTCACGGGCCCGTGCTTTGAGCTCCAATAAAGGACTCGGCGGCGGGCGTGGCGGCGTGGCGCGGAGGGGGAGTCTGTTGAAAAGGTAAAACACCGCAAAACACTGGCGCGCGCCAGTGCGGTGGCTGGGCGCCCTGGGCGCAGCGTGCGCAGCGTGCAACAGGGTGAGTTGGCTTGCCACTCGCCGGCACCGCCACGGCTTTGAAATATTTACAGCCCGCTTTCGATGATGGGACCGACCGCAAAAAATAACGGGGAGGCTGGTGGGGGCGGGGCGGGGCTTCGCGGAGCTGGACGTCTGTGAAAACAAGCGCCCTGGGTGAGCGTGCCTAGGAGAAATTTAATTTGAATTTTGATGCGACGGCCGCCAATTTCATGAAATTTCAATGATTTTTTTTCGACACGCTCTGCCCGTGTACTCGGCACGTTGGGGACGGGCACATGCCAGCGCTTCCGAGGCTCGGACACCGAAGGCAAAGGGACTCGAAAAGAGGGGTGCCCGCCGCGTCCGGCGGCGCGGGCGACGTTTGTGCCTCGTAACTGCACGCTGCTTGCCTCCAGTCTCTCGTGGGCCGCGCGCCGTGAACCCCAACTCACGCTTGGGCCGGGCCTGTGGTGCGCGGTGCGCCGTGCCGCGGTGCGCGGTGGGGTGGCGACGCGAGGGCGGCGCCAAGGCGTCGAGTCGGCGCCAAGGCCTCGCTGACTTTTGATGTACTATGTGGAGGACGAGAACTGTACGCGTTGCTGTGTAGCGGGGCGGGGCGGGGCGGGGCGGGGCGGGGAAGCGAGCGCGTGTTGACTCGAGAGCAGCCCTGTCTGCCCGGGCGGCCTGGGCCCGGGCGGCCCTGTGCCCTGGCTCCACGGTGTAGTGGTGGCGCAGGCTCTGCCGGCTCTGCCTACCCCACCCCCGCCTTGCGCTTTTGCGCTTTCCCGGCCCTCATCCCCCTTTTGTCGCGATTCCACGTTCCGCTTCTTTTTGCCTGCTCTCCGCGCAGCTGAGCCGAGGCAGCCCAGGCAGCGCAGGCAGCCCTGGCAGCCCAGCTCCCGCACTGACGGAACGAATACCCCGGAGTGTGTATGCGCCCGTGCTGTACACGTGTGTGCCTGCGCGTGTGTTGGTGAGGTTGATTGCTGCAAGTGGACTAATGCGTCGAGGCGGGTGGCCTCGTGTTGTTCGTTTTGCCTGGTCCGGACTCGATCCTGGGCCATCCGGCCTGTTTTTAGAAGCTCCTATTTCCCGGCCCGCGCTTCGCGCCTTGTTTTAATAACTCGATGAAAAAGTTTCCAATGAACTGTTCTCGTCTCAATAAAGTTGGCACCGGGCGCCCGCGCCGCCGCCCCTGTCACCGCCCCGACACCACCCCTGTCACCGCCCCCTACACTTTCCGCACCATCTCCCCTCCGGTTAGTCACGGCGAAGTTTCGAGTAGAAGCGCTGCCCCCTCCCCGCCAGCGCCAGGCAGGCTTGCGCGGTGGCGGAGGGCTGGAGGCTGGAGCTGGAGGCTGGAGGCTGGAGGCTGGAGGCTGGAGGCTGGAGGCTGGAGGCTGGAGGCTGGAGGCTGGAGGCTGGAGGCTGGAGGCTGGAGGCTGGAGGCTGGAGGCTGGAGGCTGGAGGCTGGAGGCTGGAGGCTGGAGGCTGGAGGCTGGAGGGCCCGACAACGACTCCACTTGAGTACGCCGGCCGGAGAAAGGGGCGAAGGGAGCATCGCATCGAGTGAGTCGTGGCGTGGCGTGGCGTGGCGGCGTGGCCGTGGCATCCCTCGCACCATTCATCACCTCCACGAGAGGCGGGGCGGGGCGGGGCCGTAATCCCAGCACCGCTATCCCGGAGGTGCACAAGAAGGTTGTCCGACAGTGTGGCCGCCGTCGTCGGTCCAAGGCCGCCATCCGCTCGGCCTGCCGCCACCTCGCGGCGTCTGATCGCTGGCTGTGAATTTGGCAGGCGGGCCACGGCGCCACGGCCGCCGCGGATGGAGTGAGCGAGTGAGTGACTCGGAACACCGTTCCCCGCTCTCCCTCCCTCGGCGTCTGGATAGACCAGGCCGCCAGACCAGGAGGGCCTCTTCCGCCACTGCCGTGAGATGAGATAAACCCCATTCAGGGGAAATGGGACGCGGTGGCTCGTGGCGTACAAGCCGCGCTCTCTTTCGTCAGCGCGCGAGGCAGCGCGAAACAGCAACGGGGGATGATTGTTCGCACCGCCCTCTCCCAGGCTACCCGAAACGCTGCGATCTGGTGAGCAGCCTGCTACTCACCCACGATGGCCATGGAGGTGCCGATGACCATGAGCAGCACGCCGAAGGAGAAGGCCTTGCAGGCGTTCCAGAAGCAGCGCGTCGTCACCTTGCCGCGCACCACCTCCACGTTCCAGTTGCCGGAGTGGTGCTGCTGCTGGCGCGCCGTGCGCACCGTGGGCGACAGCTCCATGACGGGCTGCTCGGGCTGCTCGGGCTGCTCGGCCTGCTCCGCCTCCTCGCCGACCTCGCCCACGCCGGACAGGCTGCGCTGCGCGGCCGCCTGCTGCTGCTGCCTGCGAACGCTGCCGGCGGAGCGCGCCGCCATCAGGGCCCCGTGGCTCATCCTGCGAATAGAGAAAGAGAAGGCTGTCAGGCTGCCGATAAGCGCGACAAGAGCGACAAGCGGGGTGGCAGGGCAGAGCAGGGCAGGGCCTGGTCCTCCAGGCCCTCGGGGACGAGGAAAGGGGGACGCGATTTAGTCAGGTAATTTGCCTGCCGCGTTCCGGGCTCCAGACTTGCTGAGGATCCATCGGCAGGGATGGATGAGGGGAGGGATCCACCCCTTTTGCACGCACACAACAAGAAAGCCGGCTCTCCCCCACCCCACAGTAATTATTCTCTTCGCTTTAGTTCATTAGAGCCCAGCGTGTGCTACTCGCGCCGGGCGGGGTGTCGCGGAGGGGGGGGGGGGAATCCTTCATCCCTGCTGCAGCCGGCGCGCTTTGCCGCTCGCGCTCCGCGTCGGTACGTGTCGGCAGCTGCTTGTTTAAAAATACGTTTCAGAAAGTAAGGATTATTTTGATATAGTACTCAAAAAACCGACCAAAAAGTTGGATCCGCCCTTTTTTGTGGTATCATAAACAGATCCGCCCTTCTTCTTGGGCCTCCAACAGATCCGCCTTTTCTTGCGGTCGCTCCACAGATACGCCTGTTCTGCTGGGATACGTCGAGCTGTTGTATTCGTTCGGTCGCTCGCTGAGCCCCGCCTGCTACGCCGCTCTATGCTCCCGGCCTGGTGGCCAGGCCCTGGCCCGCAGTGGGGCTCCCGCGGCACTCCCAGGCACGGCGGGCAAAGGCGGTGCCGTGCCGTGCCGTGCCGAGACGGGCCGGGCACACTCTAAATGTTCTACAGTGAAGATTCTCCATATTATGGTGAAAATGTTCCATATTATGGTGGTGCAGCTGACTTCGTAACATACCATTGAGAATTCACTGTACCTTATAGATATTTTGACGAATTTCGTTGGTATTATGGAGAAAATCTCCACCATAATATGTTGGTGCAGCCTTTCACCGTAAGACATTTACTGTGCACACAGACCTAAAGCGCCCGTAATTTTCCGCCTTGGACCCCAAAGGGCGTGTCCCCGGCTTGCCCGCCCCCGTGCCGTCTCGGTGTGTGAAGCCTTTCCTGTCAGCCTGGCCCGACCTCCACGGCCCCCACGGATGGGGGCGGGCATCGCTCCTCGCCGGAGTGCGAGCGAGCGAAGGAGGCGCAGGCGTGGCCAGTAACCTCCGCACTCCAAAGGTCGTATGGTGAGGATCCTCCGTATAATGGAGAAAATTCTGCTGACTGAATTCTGGAGATAGTCAAAACGCGTTCTAACCAGGACCGAAAGCTTCCAAGGTTTTACAGACGGCCGCATTGGTCATTCAGAAAATGTCAAACAAAATGGGATTCGAACCCTTGAGCCATGTGTCAGGAGCCCACGCCTCTGCCACAGACCACCACGCGGTGCCCGGATGATTCGTCGGGGAGGAGATGATAAGTCCTTTGAAGCTGGCCCATGATTGACTGTCGGTAGAGAGCGCCGGACAGCGGGGGTGCCTGTACAGACCACCCCGCGAAAAGCCAAGGCTCTCGTGAGAGAGGGAGACTCGACCCCCGGCCCATATCAGACGAGAACCCCCGGGGTCGCCGCCTGCAGCACCGGTTCCCCCGCGCCACCGAAGTTGCAGGCGGTCCTCCGTACGTGCGGAGGTGGAAGAAGGGCCATCCATTTTTCATTTCTTTTTCTAGGTTTGTTTTTTATGATGCGCCGCTGCACAGCGGTAAGCAGCGCGTGAGCCCGTGGAACCTCGCGTGGAACCCGTTTCCAGGAGAATGGTTTAGGATACGAGTTCGTAGTACCAAAGGGGTGCGACTGGTTTGTGACCGGACGCGAAGCTCACAGTTGGGAACTTTAAGGAAGTTCCTGCTCGACCGCTACCACCATGGGACAGCGAGGCGCGTTTTCAAGTGGGGGAGGCCCTTGTCCAGGAGGCCCGGGGGGGCGCTCCAGGGGTCGAGGGTTGCGGGCCTTGTGCGTGTGTTCCGAGGGCGTCTGGCGTCTGCGAGCCCGAGCCGGGGAACAGAGGGCCCTCGTGCGGCTCCCGCACGGCCCCAGCCGCGGTGGGGCGGGGGGGGGGGGTCAGGTAGGGCCTGGCTGACACCCTCCGTGGATGTACAGCCCTTGTTGCCGCGCAGGGCGAGCAGGGCGAGCAGGGCGAGCAGGGCCGTGCAGGCCAACCTTTGGCGGTCACTGAGAGGGGGCCAGGGGGTGGCTGCGGCCAGAGAGTTCTGCCAGGGCTGCCCAGGGCTGCCCACGGCCGGCCAAGGAGGTGGCGCCGCACTTCCCGGACCACTTCCTGCACTGCTTTGTGGCGGTGCTCGCCTCGGCGCTGCGACTAAGTCGGGGCCGGTGGTGGTGGCAACCCTCTCGCAATGAAGGACCGGCCTGGACCTGGACCGGCCGCCGGGCGAAACGCAATGGATTGCCGTCAGTGATTTCCCCGGAGAGGCCTTGCCGGCTTTGCGCTTGGCGGTTTGCCCCCGTGTAACTTTCCGAGTCGTTTCGAGGCGGCGACGACGACGACAATACTGACGGGGCTCGCGAACCCGCCCCCGCCGCCTGGCCACCGGCTGGGGCCCTCCTCCCAGGCTTCGAACCCCGCCCCGCGGCCGCCTGCACGTAGCGCAGCGTCGGGGCGCGCGTGCCACCAGCGCCGCCAGGGCCGCCAGTGGCCGAGTGAATAGGCTCTTATTTCTTTACGAGGGTTCAAAGGGGCCGCTGGCTCGGCCCGGCTCGGCTCGGCCTGACCTGGCCCGGCCCGGCCTGGCTCGGCTCGGCTCGGCTCGGCACCTGGAATGGGGCGTCCCAGGTGGGGTGGAGCGGCGGGCGGCCAGGCCGGCCAAAAGGGGAGAAGGGGAGGCTAGTTGAATTATGGCCGACGCGTTTTCTCAAATTGACGCGAATTATCGTGTGGCCGAATCGGCCGCGCGGAGAGGAGGCGGCGAACGTGTTGCACCGAACCAGTTTGCCCATTCGAAGTGACGTCAGTGACGAGTCGGTGGCAGTGCGGGCTGCAGATTGAGGCTTTGATTCAATGGAGGACGAGCTGATGCTGTCTTCGCTCGGCCGGGCCAATGAAGGCCCGAGCAAGGCCCAAGCAAAGCGCGTGCGCACTGGAGCGGGCCGCGCGGGATGGGAGCCGCTTAGCACATTACGACCGGCCCAAGCTTTGCTCCTGAATGCTGCGCGATGCTGCGGGCCTGGCCCTTGGCCGGGCCGGGCCTGCCCGGGCAGCAGCAATGCCTTGCAATGCAATGCAGCTGTTTCCTACTCGCCCTGCTTCCGGGACTCGGCGGGGCCCGCGGCTCGTCTCGGCAGGACCTAGGCCGGCCTAGCAGCCGCCCCGGCCCAAACAAAGCAGCGCCGCATTCCGCACCAGTCTGCACCAGGACTTCCGCTAGGCCTTCCGCCAGGCTGCCCTCCAGGCTGCATCGAATTCCCAGACCAGATTGCCGGTGCTGTTCAGCACACTCGTTCCGTCGCTCTGTCCCTCTCGCGCTCATGGGACGCTCCGTCGAGGTGCGAGAGGGACGGAGCGACGAGGGCCCCGTTCTGAAGCAGCTTGCACCACAGCACCAAGGTCTGCGCCTCGATCTATAGAGCTGTCTGCTGTGGAATGCCTCAAATGCCCTTGCAAAAACCCTTGTTTTGTTTCAAAATCGTGTTTTCGGTCCTCAGACTCTCCTCATTTACGTCCTGCCTCCAGTATGCGATCGGCAATACTTCTTAGGGATCAGTGGCGCCGAGGTAAAAATGCTGACTGGAGTCAGATTGTGTGACTTGGGCGATTTGTAGCAATCGTGTTAAGCGAGCGGCTGGTCTTCAGCTGTCTAGTGTAGTCGTCGGTAGCAGTGTCGACTCACCCACCCCCGCGTCCGCAAGCAGGCCCCCAAGCAGGCCCCAGCCCGGCCCTAGGCTCTCCATGTGGCCCGAGCCAATCAGGGAGGCAGGGCAAGGCAGGGCAGAGCCGCCTGACGTGAATGCAGATGGTCACTGCTGTGAAACGTCCTGCTTGGGGGGGAAACCAATTCCCTCCCCCCCGCCCCCAGCCTGGCCAGCCACCGGACTGGCGTCCTTTCTCTCGATCCATTTCCGGTGGCCAGCCCGGCCAAGAGCCCGGCCGGCCGGCCAGATCCTTGAGCCCAGCTTCATCGGGGAGATGCTAGATCACCGAGGAGAGCCTCCCGGGGGGCCTCGCCGGGCATTGTTGTGTCCAGCCAGCCTCGCGCCTCGCAGGGCTGTTCATAATTTGGCCGCCCCGCCCCACCCCGCCCCGCCTCTATTTGCATGGATGCTGGCGCCGCTGGTGGGCCGCTCCTGAGGCAGGCTGAGGCCCTGGATTATGGCGGCCAAGGGGAAGGAGGGCCGGGCTGCATGTCAAGGAGGCGTCCGCTCTCTATGAGGGCTCGCTGGGCTCGCTCCTCGCCGTGGGTGGAGGCTGACGAACGATTCTCAAGAGTCGTTTCGTCGCTGTCTCCGCTCTCTCTGCGTCTGTCTGTCTGTCTGTCTGTCGCAGTCCCAGGGAAGGCCAACGACTTTTCGGTCGGTGGGTCACCATACTCCAAGGCGAAGTCCGATCGCGGTGGAGGCAGACGGGGCGGAGGGCCGCGATACTGCGATGCCGCCGCGCTCGCGTCGGGTCGGCCGGTTAATCCCCGCCGCCACTGACTGCTGGCCCCGCCGCCCCGCCGCCCCGCCGGCCGCAGCGCGGGGAGTTTCAGGAAGCTTTTGTGGCGGTCTGGCTTCGTTAACATTCCGCGAGCGCCGGCGAGCTCTCGCCGGACAGCGTGCCGGCCATGTACTTGACGTCACGTCGAGTCGGGGAGTGGGGCAAGCGGGGCGAGCGGGGCAAAAGAACATTCCGTCTGCTCCACGACAGCGTTG